AAATTGCATTTTTGCAAAAATGGTCGAAGTATGTATGTGAAGCTCTCAAATGTTATATTCGACTGGGCCAGGGGCTGACTCGAAAGCTGAGAATGGAACCCACTGCGTGTATGTGGGTGTGGGTTTGGTGTATGGTGAGAAAATATGAAAACAAATGGCGCTTGCGTTTTTGGCTTTGCTAAGTAAACGGAATTTTGTTTGTGCCCCTTTGTGTACAAAAGTGTGTGTGTGTGGCTTTGTGTGTGGGTGTGTGTGCATACATTAGTTCGGGCAAAAACAAATTTATGTGCGTTTTAGCTGTTATTGTTTTGGATTTCTACTGACAAATTGATTGAGCTGCTTTTGAAGTACTCATAGGTTTATGGCTAGTAATGTTGATTGATTGATTATTCAAACTTAAAAGGCTCGCATGTTGCCCATTAGGATTACTTTAAGCGAACGCACAAAGATCAACGTAGTGTGTGACGTCCTACTTTGTTATTCCTTTTAGAGCTAATACGCATTTAAATAATATAAAACAAAAGTTTATGAACACGACTACATAAGCAATATTGTTGTTTATTGTAATCTTCTCCTGGATTTTCGAGCACTCTTGAAAGAAATTTGAATACAAATGTTCATTTTTCATGGGACTATTTAGTTCGTCCATTCTCTTAAAAGAAATTCTATAAAATCCTATAGTATTTTGTTCCAACTTTTAATTTATAATCATTTTAAGAAGATAAATGCTGACGATAAAAATCTATTCCGCAGCTTAGTTGTTTATATAAGTGGATTAGCCTTTTAATTTATAAACTGAAAACAATTATTGTTTTCAAAATATATGCTATTTAGTTAAGAGACTAATATAGCCACCTTGTGTTATTCACATATTTGGCATATCGGCTTATATTTGTATTACATTTCGGCTATTTAAGTAATCGTGCTATGATTTGTTTTGTTTAACCGCATCTGTGCATGTATACATATAAGCTGATTGACTATATTAGTTGTACTTACCCCTTAGAACTCAGATTGACTCTTGCCTCAGGAGAACGATAAAAAGAGAACACCAGTGTCAAATTCGTAGAGCTCGACAAAATCTCTATCAATTTAATTTGACAGAAGCTCTGATAATGACACAAACTATGGAGCCTTCCAAAATAACTTTCTAATAAGATATTGTCTATCGAAGTATTATTTTAAGCCTCAATCCAAATGCAAATCTGTGGCTGATTTTGAAAATGGTGTTATGAAAAAGGATCCACTACCGTAAATGAACGATGAATCAGAGTGCCGCCAGAATGCATGCAAAGATCTAAAATTTGTGTCAATATTTTCACATAAAAGGTGATTTATTGAACAAATGCGGATTGCCTTCGTTTTTTACATCTCTTCTTTCTCACAAATTCTCGTTTATTTAATTGCTACTGTTATTTTTCTTTTGAACTTCAGCGAACATATTTGGGAAGCCTTTAGTTCCTAGTTCTTCTTATGATATTTCTGCTTTACAAATGGCGTTACGTCGGCGATAATTTACCATTTCTTTTAATAAAATAGTTTATTATTACAAGTATGAGGAGATTTGCAAATTTTACTTGAATTTAATTAAAAGTTTATTTGTTCTCTTCCAGCTTGTTGATTATATTTTTTTAATAAAAGGTTTGACACCAGTACTTGCAACTTCTTGGGTCTCCTCCCCAGTTCTATGGGGTTGCATGTATTTTTGTCTGCACGCTGCACTTCTCGTAGCTCTGCCGTGAAGTTAAGCCGCTTATCAGCTTTGACTGCGGCATAACCTGCTGCGTGCGTGCGTGTTGTGCGTGTCTGTATGTGTGTGTGTCTGTGTGTGAGGTGGGGGTCACGCTGAGAAGAAGATAATGCACTATAAAAGTACAACGCATATGGAGTATATTCTTGTAAATAAAATATTATGTGGAAGGCTATTTGTGTGTGATGCTTTTATGTATTTATTTGTAATCGTGCTCTTGTTTTAAACTTGTTGCCGCATTGCTGGATAATAATGGCAACTTACCGATTATTTTCTGGCAATGAAAGCTTGCAAGCTTGTTTAACAATTAACATACATTTTTCATTTAAAACAACTATTAGTGTAGACAATTTATGCAAAACTGTCAAGACTTGGCAAACATGTGCTCTTCATGCAATATTTGTTTTTTTTTTTAATTGATCGCATTAATAGTTTAAAAGCACTTAGACAACAGCTAAGTTGCATGCAAAATTTAAATTGAAGCGCTTCAAAACATACTGAAATTTTAGAGGAAGTTTATCGAAGTTAATAGTTTCAACAACTTATATAACAAATTTCGTAGATTTTTGAGTAAATACGGCTTATTCATTTGTTTAAAAATTTTTAATATAATAAATAAAGTATTTTGTAAGCAATGTACAAGAATTTCCATTAAACACGGCCGTTATTTATACTCTGTAAAGAGGTACAAGAGTATTTTAGGTTTGTGCAAATTGAAAAAAAAAAAAGATGGAGGCGTGACTTACTCCACGAAGTATCGTGAAAATTATTTTAGGCGGACACCCCTTTAGGCCGACACCCCTTTAGGCGGACACCCCTTTAGGCGGACACCCCTTCAGGCGGACACCCCTTTTAGGCGGACATTTTTCCTAAAACAAAAGACGTGTTAATCCAGCCCTATCTCTCTGTCTGACCACCTATATCTCAAAAGCTATAAGATCTAAAGACACAACATTTCACACACAGATGACTTATATTTTTTTTTTCAGATATTTGTTAATTTTCATAAATTTTTATAATTATTCTAGCATTAGTATTGGCATTTTAACTTACAATTTCCTGTAAAAGCCTCTTTTAAATTTTTCTTTAACGTATCGTACATTAGACGCTTTTTATTCAATTTGTTGCATACTGTTGTGTTGTATTGTTTGGTTAAGCTATGCAGCTATAAGCGTGCCCTTAGCTCCATTTGGGAATCGGTTTTTCACATTCAAAACATAAAAACCAAATGGAATTCAATCTGACACCCATACAAACGTTTTGACAGATTTCAACAGCAGAGCTGCCGAACACAGAGAAAAATTGATAGGTGTATGGGTGTGTGTATGTATGTATGTATGTATGTATGTAGCTGAACCGTTAAGCATTGCAAGTGCAAAAAGTGTTAAGTGCTCTTACTGTTTCTTGCAGCAGCAATCATTGTCAAGCCAACAACGACAGCTGAACACTACCACCAAACATCGATTCAGCCAGCAGGACCCCCACTCCTCCCCAACACAACATATCCTACTTCTGCTGCCCCTAACAAAAAACGATAGCAACAAGCAACCGACAAATGCAGCAGCGATTTATACGGTCGCAAAGTTCAATACAGTAAAGTGCAAAAAATAAAACAGAACACCAACAATTTTTTTAAATTCAAATGCAAATGCAAAACAACAGTTGGCATCAATCGAGCTGTCGGGAGAAACAGCGAACGAAACTCCTTTTCCCACCCACCCACAGACTAAATTCTGGACCTGCTAGCTGCTGGCTGTGCTCTCCACTAGAATTAATGATGGGTTCGCCAGCTTGTGTAGTTGTTGTTGGTGCTGCTGTTGTTGTTGTTGCTATTTCTGTTGATCTGGAGGGGCTTTGGGTTTAGTGTGTTTTATGTGGAATCAAGTGGAAATTCAATTGATTTGTTCCGACTATGGCTTTGGCCAGCAACAGCAGCAACAACAGCAACAACAAAACGAAAAGAAGCAAAAGGCGTTTGTAATAATTGCGTGGTGGCCAAGTGGATTTGCATACATACACATACACACATACATGCATATGTTTGTATGTGAATATGTTGAACCTCAAAGCACGTCGGCGCTTACGGCCAAGTAATAAGCATAGACGACTGAGTCAGCGTCTGCCCAACAAGTGTAAAATTTATTTGAGCGCAAATTCATTTTGCGTAATTTTGCAAATATTACAAAAGCGTATGAATACGGTTGGCAAAAGGCAGTAACAGAAGCCGCCTTCGCCTGCTCCTATTGATGGTCATCCATGCCGGCTTCTGGCATTGTCAGCATGTCAAGCTATACGATATTCCGTTAAGCCAGTTAGTGCAAAGCTTTGTCTAATCAAATGCCAAAGTTATTTAATTAATTCGAGTGCTTTGTGTAATCTTAAAAGTAAAATGTGCAGCTGACATCAATAATAATATCAAGTTGGGGAAAATAAGCATGAAATCGAGTGGAAACAATTTTGTTTAATGAACTCAACCAAGTTGCGGACTCAGCTTGAGTTTCTCTATTATAAAAATGCCTTTAAAACTATATGGATATTTTATCTTTAAGTAATAAGAAATGTATGTTTCTGCAAAGAATTCCATAAATGAAAAGCTGGAATTAGATTTTCCGAACTTTTCAAATTTTTCCTGAATTTATATTATTTAATTATTGCAGACAACTTTTGAACTTTTGAAAATATTGATGGTGTTATAATAGAAACTATTTATTGCAATGAGATGACGAATTAAAATTATTTATGCATTTAAAATGCTTTTCCATAATATGTTGTTGACTTTCCTAAAACAACTTTTGATTGGTATCACCTGAGACTATAAATGATTTAACAAGCTGATAGGCAGAACTTAAACTTAAAACTCATGTTCCAGTTATGTTCCAGTTTCCTGAATTCATATTATTTAATTATTGCAGACAACTTTTGAACTTTTGAAAATATTGATGGTGTTATAATAGAAACTATTTATTGCAATGAGATGACGAATTAAAATTATTTATGGATTTAAAATACTTTCCCATAATACTATATGTTATTGACTTTCCTAAAACAACTTTTGATTGGTATCACCTGAGACTATAAATGATTTAACAAGCTGATAGGAAGAACTTAAACTTAAAACCCATGTTCCAGTTATCTTTTAAAAATCTTTTTTAAGATTATCAAGTTTATACTCAAGATGAAGAAACTATCTTTCCGACATAACGTAACAAATTTTCCGCAATTATAATCATATGAACTATTTTATTTTCAGCGAAACAGGATATTATTATTTGAACTAAACATCCATGTCGACTTAATACTAATACAGTAAAGCTGAAATTAGCGCACCTTGGAACACAGACACGCAACGCCCAGCATGGGCGGACTAAGTGAACGGACAGCACAAATTGCCATTTGGCTCGTGTTTCTCTTGCTTTTCATACCCCACAGTCAGGCAGCTCGACAGAGTGAGTAGCCTATAAATATACATATGTATATATTAATACAATATATAACTATTTACAGACCCACTCAAAGATCCACGCATCTGTGGTCGACCACAATGTGAGACGAACTCCAAATTTAAATATGGCGAAGTGCTCTATAAATACGATTACACGGTCTCTGTACGTAGCGAATTCGCCGGCTCTGGGGACAACACCTCGGATTTGTATTTGAAGGCCAATCTGGATATATTCTTTCCCAAGCCGTGTGAGGGCTACTTGCGTATAAATGACGCCAAGCTCTACGATAAAACGGAAGAATTCAGCCAAGCCGAGAATGGCGATAGTTCAAGCGAAAAATCAAATGATTATGGGGACTACTATGGCGGTTTGGCAAGTGCCGAGTCAGATGAAAAGCCCCAAAACATTGACAATCTGCATCCCAAGAGCGTGGACTTGGCCTATGACTTAAAGAAGAATGTTTTGCGTTTTGCGTTTCACGATGGCCTCATCAGCGAAGTGTGTCCGCATCTTGAAGAAACCGATTGGGTGTTGAACTTCAAGAAAGGCATATTGTCGGCATTCCAAAACACCATGATGCGCTTCGATGTTGACTTCAATACTACCGAGACAGATGTTTCTGGCGAGTGCCAAGTGCAGTATGCACTCGAGAGCACGGACAGTGTGTATGTTACTATACGGAAGATAAAGAATATAGCCACGTGTAGAAAACGATATTCCACACACTCAATGCTGCAGACAACGCCCTACACTTTCCGAGATGACAAGACTATTTGGCCCATACTGAACTCGGAGAGTTATTGCAATGTAAGCTGGGAAAATAAATAATATCTAATATTTTTAAAACTGATCTAAGTATTATAGCAATCACTTGGTTTCTACTAAACTATTAACCAAATAAGCTTTTGCATTATAACAATATTATTATAATCAGAGCTCTAATTTAAACTCTACTATTTAATTACTTTTAAGACTGAGTTATTAATCTTTTTGAAAATTTCAGCTCACTATTGATAACCACGTCTATCGCGAGATCAGCTGCTTTGAGCGACATCTCCTCATACCATTCTCTAATGCCAGCACGGGCGCAGTAACCACAAGTCAGAGCAAGTTCGAGCTGAAGGGCGAAGAGTCCTACAGCAGCAACGAGTTTTTGGAACAGAGTAAGTAAAACCTCCGTTAGACAATCAATTAATTTCTATATAATGCATTTGTATTTTTTAACAAATATGCTTTGAATAGTTATCATGAACAGTAATTCAATTGTCGTATAGAATTTGTTTAGAAATAAATGATAGAAATGTAGTATTTTTTGAAATCAAATACAAATTTTTCACCTCCCAATAAAACTGTTTTGTATAATTTATTTGACTTCTAATGGATAGCTCTGCCAACGGAGCAGTCTTAATTTGAATGGAATTCTAAAAAAGCATTAACGAACGTAGAAGTATTTTTTCATCCAAAATAAATTGTTTAAATACATTTAAATAGTTTCAAATTTTATAACGAAGAGTAGAAACAAATTATCAATGATCGATTGCAGATTTATGATTATAAATTCGGAAGTCCCTCTAGATATGGTATAATCATAAGTTCAGAAGTCCTATTCATAAAGAATTATCATTGGTATAATTTGTTCATTGGGATAATTTAGCGATTATCCTTTATCCCAGTAAATGAGTTCAAGTCGTTTAAACGGAAAGTAAAAATCGACTGCAGATTTATGATTATAATTTCGGAAGTCCATCTAGACAGGGAATAATCATAAGTCCAGTTCATAAAGAATAATCATTCGTTGGGATAACTTAGCGATTATCCCTTATCACCATAAATTAATTCAAAACGTTTAAACGGAAAGTAAAAATCAGAGATCAATGATCGAATTTACATGAATGACTATCTTTTGTATAGCATTCCCTATTAATACACACCCACTCTCGTTCCCCACTTTTTCAACACGCACAGATAACGAACTCATTGATCGACGCTCAACGCTTATCTTCGATCACACGCCTCTTGTCAAGCCCACACACGGCGAGATCAAGGCCGCTCGTGAGCTGCTTAAGGAAATGTGCGCTGTGGGTTTTCCGAACATACAGCGCGAGTTCATTGACGTCTTCACCAAATTTCTACAAACTACGAAGAGTCTCGATTATAAGGCACTCACAGTTTTGCTGCAACGAGCTGCGAGCATTTGTGAGCAGGGCAAGTGAGTAATGAGCTGGCAAGGTCGAGCGATAAGCATTTATCTCTCTCCCTCTCTCTCTCTCTCTCTCTCTCTCTCTCTCTCTCTCTCTCTCTCTCTCTCTCTGTGATTTATAGAAACCATGTACTTGAATCATTGCCCTACATAGGCAGCACTGCTTCCTATAAGGTGATGCGAGATCAAATTATCGCTGATAACTTGCCCAAGGACTTGGCCCATAATTGGATGACATCGCTGTCGTTCATCACACGACCCGATGAGGAGACTCTAGAGACGTTCTACACCATTCTGGACTATGCACGCAAGAAGCTCGATCCTGAATACACGCTGGGCGCAACGGCTGTCATACACAGCTTCTGCAAATACCATGAACAGTGCGCTGATCACTTAAAGGTCCAACAGATTGTCAATCTTCTGGAGACCGAGTTTCTCAGTATCTATAATATGTATCGGGGTCAGCGCAGACAACGCGAACGACTGATTGTGCTGCTGAAAGGTCTGGGAAACATTGGTGCCATGTCAGAACAGTTTGCTGAGCAACTGCAATGGATTATCAAGGAGGATGGCACGCCTGTGGACATTAGATTGCAGAGCATTCTGGCATTTAGACGCGCCGATTGCTCCAAGTACCGCACCTACTTTCTGGATAGCTATGCCAATTATACACTGAACTCTGAGCTGCGCATTTATAGTTATCTGCAGGCCATGCGTTGTCCCGACTATATATCGATAGCCGTCATCAAATCTATACTGGAGCATGAGGAAATCAATCAGGTCGGCTCCTTTGTTTGGTCCCATCTAACCAATTTGGCGAAATCGAATTCGCCAGTACGCATTGAGGCACAGGGTTTGCTTCTGAACGATGATCTTTCCGATAAATTTAAATTGGACATACGAAAATATTCAAGGAACTATGAGCACAGCTTGTTCTTCGATGAATACAATTTTGGTAAGTCCAAGTTCGAGCTACTCTAAGAAGCACAATATCAAATTGAATAGGAAGTTAATGATCTGCATATTATATTAAAATCAGAAGATTAGTTCAAAAATCTTAAAGCCCAGGCAGTTAAAATTTGATAAAGAGATTAAAATTACCACAAATTATTATAAAATATATGTAAATAAGTCAGACAAGAACTACTAATGATATATAATATGTAGAACGATGTCTGAGATTTAAGCGTGTAGTAGAAAATATTTGAGTGAACTATCAATCTTAATTAGTTGCAATTCAACATACATTTTTAAATAAAAGTGTCAAATAAATCGCTATAGACAACATTACGGTTTTATCATAAAAATAAGCCAATTCGATATTTTTGCTAGAGTACCATACTAAGTACAAATTATTTTATATTCTAGGCACCACTACTGATGCGAACCTTATTTTCGGTACGGATTCCTATTTACCTCGCATGGCGAGCGTTAATTTCACTGCCGATTTGTTTGGTCAGTCTGTCAACTTTTTCGAGTTCACTGCTCGTGCCGAAGGTTTCGAGCAGATGGTAGCCTCAGCCTTTGGACCGAAAGGACCGTTTAGTGGGGAGCTATTGCGCAAGAAGCTTTCCTTTCTAAATCGCTGGCTGGGCAACGAGAGCGCCGAAGAAGATGATACGCTGGAAAATTTGTTGAGCTTGGAAAACTTGCGCTTGAAACGCAAAGCAGAAGAACAGCTGACGGAACGGGAAACTAATGTGGAGGTGGAAGATGACGAAGACTATCAATTTGAAGAAGGCTTACTGTCGCGGCCGAAGCGCGATTCGAATTCTGCGTCACGCAAACAAAACATTGAGCGCAATGTGAACAAACTTGGATATAAATTAAAGTACGATTACAGCAATCCCCGCGCTCAGTTCGGACTACGCATCTTTGGCAACGATTTGCGTTACTATACTGTGGAGTCTATGATAGAAGTAATGGCTCTGCTGAAGCAGTTCGATCCCTTCCATCAGGCTCAAAAGGTGTTGTCGGGCAAGGAATTCAAGTATACAAAGTCGCGCGTCTTCCTTGATGCCTCGTACAATGTGCCGCTGGCCATCGGTCTGCCCCTAGCCATACATGCCTTTGGAGCCTCGTCGGTAGATTTGCGGGTTTCGGGCAGCTTGGAGCGCATGGAACCGCTGGATAATTATTACTTCGATGTCGAGGGTCGTTTCAAGCCCTCTGTTTCGGTTGATGTCATCACAACCATGAAGACTGATATGTATTGGGGTGAATCGGGCATAAAGGTCAAGAGCAATCTGTATTCGAACTCTGAGGTCGAGGCTAAGCTTAAGGTGCGTGGACCAACGCTTGTTTCCTTTGCATTCAGCCTACCACAGGACAAGAATGAAATATTCAGTGCTCGGTCAGAGTTATTGGTGATGAAACGTGACGAGGAGCTGCCACAGCTTGGCATAGAAAAGCGTAGTTCCAACTCTTCCTGTACTTGGCCCGTCCTAAATCGCGCGCTAGGTTTGCAGTTATGCTCGAATTATAGCGTTCCCGACTTAAGTAACTCTTCAAATGTGGTCTATCCAAGTCTGCTGTTGACTGGACCGCTGAACTTTAGCGTTATATTAACAAAATCGGACTTATCCGCCAAAAAATACGTCTTCGAATACAAGTGGGACAAATTGGAGGCAGAACAGCAAAATAATTGGTCACTTGTTTTCACGACACCCGGCTCTAAAACTCCTCGCGTCCTCGTGGTCAATGTAACAAGTGTACCCAATGCTTTTAATGCCTCGGTGGCTTTTGTTAATGGCGCCAACCGCACATCGGCAGGGTGCAGCTACGATGGCAACCCATCCTATAGGCGATTAGATTTATATCTGGACGCAGATGGCAATCGTTCATTTGACTTGGGAATGGAACTGCGACACTATCAGGAATTTACAACCAAATTTTACAAGCCAAGAATGCTGCTGGCCATTAATGGCGTCAACGTAACTGGCCTGGTGGGTCTCATTAAGATCTATGAGAAGAATGGCATCAAACAACATGATGTGGAATTGTCCTTCGAGACGAAAAAACTGCAGGCAATGGTCAATGGAAATATTGTGCAGAATGAAGTGAAAACTACCACAAATATGACGATTAATTATAGGGTATGTTGAATAAGGATTTACTTTATAGTATAGTAGAGTATATTAATGATGTGTGCCTTGTAGTTCCAGGAAAACAAAATCGAGACCATCAACTTTTCGGGAAGTCTGAAGAATAATGGCGATAAGTCCAAGACCGACTACGGTGGTGACATGAAACTGCGCACCTCTGCCTATCCGAAGCTAAATTTCGCATCGAATGTTACGTGGACAAGTCTCCAGGGCCATACGGAGGGCGTTGTGACTTACAATAATGCGCCCAACTTTGTCGACCCCAATTACATGAGTATGGTGCGTCTGGTCTTTGCGAAATCCCAATCTGAGGACACTATTTGGGAAGGCTCGCGCACACGTGCCAGCTTGGAGCTAAAGATTCCTAAATCCAAAATGGACTATCGTATATTGATAAAGTAAGTTTTGAACTAGATATATCTACGCGTTATTCATTTGCATACTTTTCAGGCATGAGGAGCGAAGCAAAAATGGAACGGAGCACAATTTTATTCTGGGTCTGAAGTATGCAGCCGATAAGGAGGCCACAGGTGTGTTTTCCGTACACCTGCCGCGACGCAATCTGTTCGCTGTGGATGCCTATATGAATGTTACTGTGCCAGAGTTTAACTCCTGTACGCTTAGCCTGAAGGTCAATGAGAAGGCTAGCAAAGATTATATGGTAAATATTATTTAGATATTGAATTTACTCTACATTATTACAAATCGGTTAACTTTTTTTTTTGCTTAGATTTTCGTTAATGGATCTTGGTTTACGGGCCATTCCATAGCCATCAGGGGAAACTACAAAGATCGTAGTTCGCGTGTGCAGGCTTTGCATCATTTGAAAATGATTGTGGAGAGTCCTTCCTTTAATGCCACCACGCTTAATATAGTCTATCGACGCAATCAGCTGCTGATATTCTACGATCTGAAGGCAAAATATGGAAAAGATCCTTATGGGCTAACCATACAATATGCCTCGAATGCCCATAATCGCAATTCCAATGCAGAAATTCGTTTGAATGTTGTGGGCAGGGACTACTGGATCAACGCAAAGTTATTGTCAGAGCAGCCTAAGCTATTGCAAGTGGAAATACACATGGACAAGTAAGTGGGGAACTAAATATTGGCTTAAGTGGTTACCAAAGGTTTCTTCTTTGCGCAGAATACGAGACGTGCACATTCAAGTGGGCTTGCTCAACATAGATAAGCGCAAAGAACTCTCTCTGGAGCTTAAGTGGGATGCCAATCGAGATCCCACACAACGTCTTGGCCTGCTAATGGAATATAATAATCCTGGATCCAAGCATTATGATGGCAATGTTATGATTACCTATCCGGAGCGCACGATAAACTGTGGTTTCTCCGCCTACACCGGTGGTCCGAAGTATTATGGTAAGGCACACGCTTCTTGGAGCATAGCCGAGATCATAGAATTTAGTTACGATGCGGGTGTAATGCCTGGCAAAATTTTGCACAACTGGGTGCATGCGGAGGTCACAACACCCTTTGCTGGCTGGCGACGCAACAGCCTCAAGGCAGGCGTGTATAATGCGCAGAATCTGATACTCGTCAACTCGACGCTGTTCTGGGCTGACGATCAGAAACTAGAGCTCGGCTACAAGAGCGACTACGACATCAGCGAACCAGTGGTGAGCTTTGATGTGCGTGTGGGCATCAATAGCACGATCAAGGACATACCTACAATTAATATGAAGGTCAAGCACTGGCAGGACATGAAGAAGTTTGATACGGATCTCTATTTGCGCTACAGTGGACCGAATGACACATTTAATACGTACAGCGTAAAGTCCAACTGGGATTTGTCGCGCAATCAGCGCTATCAGAATATTTCGGGCACCGTGCTCCTGATCAGCCCCTTCGAGGGTTACCGCAAAGGTGGATTGGCGGCCATGTTCATGATGAACGATCAGCGACAACTTAGCGGCGCAGCCTCGTTAAACTTTGAGCTTCGAGAATTCACACTAACTATGGATGGTTATGCTAAGAAAATTTCGGACAATATGCTGACAATTAACATAACAACGCCTTTGGAGAAGTTCCGCACCATCCATGGACGCTTCGGTTTGAATGAGAAGAAACGACATGCCGTAGCCGAAGTTCGGGCACCCACAGCTGCTTTGGGTGCAGAAGCTTTAGCGGACATTAAAAACTTACTGGACTTCGATGTCAAACTTAGTGTGGCTACCCCCATCGAGAGTTTCCAGCAGGCCGGCCTATATGCAAAGGTAAACAGTGAAAGTGTGGATCTGCGCGGCATATGGAATAATGCCACCTTGGGCTTCACCGGCGTCTGGCGCATGCATAATCTGACGGACTTCGAATACTCCTATCTTGTTTTTACGCCACTAGCTGGATTCGAAGAGAACGGTTTCATAGCACAGCTGCTGAAACGCGATACTTTTATCTTCAAATTGCACGGAAAGTTGTCGCAATACAAGTTAGGTGTCAAGATCAATGGCCATCCCAAGTCTAAGCTGATTAATCAGTTGGGCAGCAATAAGATTGAGCTGGAAATACTCTATGACGATGATTTCCAGCCACCAGCGACCGACTTGGACTATGAACAAGAAGATGTTGACTACGATGACTATTTCTCATACTTTGCGGAATTCGAACTGGACACATTGGCTTGGCCCACAATTGTGGGTGCAATGGATATACAGGAGATCTTTGACTTCTTCCTAATTGTGGGTAATGTACAGCTGCCACAAGGGCGTGTCGATTTAAAGGATCGCTTACACTTCCCCGACTACTTGAATGTGCTTAATGTGTTGACTGTAAATACACCCTTCGCCTTCGCCAAGGATGCGAAAGCCATTGTAGAATATCACATGGATCTGAATTTTAGCACATTTTACGAGCGCGTGCAGTTCGCATTATTCGATGGCGTAGACAAGCCCAAGGAAATGGGCTTTGAACTGAACTACACTAAAGTGATGGATCATGTAACACCCAAGGCGCACAACGTCCAACTAAAGTTAATCACTCCCTATGAGGTGCTGCACGAAATTGATATATACGGCCGATTAGAGCTGGATGATAATGCGTACAAGGGTAACATTACGTCCATAACTGCCACCACACATCTTTCTCTGGCTGCTGCTGTTGAGGTGAATTGGGTCACGAATTAACTTGTAAGATCATGTTTTTAATCTGTATTTCTTTTATTTAAGAATGAGGATAACTTTTTAGAAACATCCGTTGGCATATTGCTGGAAACAAATGTGATACCACACTATGCCTGTCAGGCCTACTTCAAGAAAGACTTCTCTGCTGTGGATAATACTATTGATATACGGTTTGAAGTGACCGACAACGGCATTGTGAATAAGGTGCGTAATTATCCAACAGTCGATATATATATATATCTTATACATATATCTATCTCCATTGCAGCTGCAAATAGAATCGGATTGGCACACAGATCCCTCTTACTACGTCAATGTGAATGGCAGAGTACGTACCACCATGCTACCTCTGGAACTGGCCTCTACCTCAGTTCTTGTGACAAAAGGCCCCAATCCGAAGCTTAATTTCGATCTCAGCTTTTTGAGTCGCGATGGCCAGAGTATTGAGTACGGCACGCGGGCCAACAAAAAGAAGGACGTATTCAACATCGAGGTGTGGACGCCATTGAAGAATTATCGTAATATATCCATGCACGGTACTATTGTGAAATCTGCCCGTGATGCGCAGCGCTATGAGATCACTGGTAACTTGTATCGCAACATGGCAACCTATGGCCTTAAAGGTGCTTTACGAATGGGCGAATTTTTGCCCATCGATGCAACACTGCGAGTTCAGCCCAAGGCTGGCGGTCGTGATGGTGTCATAGAGTTAAATATTCACGAGGCCGGGCCGAAGAAAATTCGTTTCTCCTTCAGTGCCATAGAAGACGGTAAAATGTGTCAAATATCGGGCGGCTATAGCGTTAGCGAAGACAGCTCCATGGACTTTTCTGTGTTAGTGGAAAGCACCGAGCCAGAAATCGCCCGCATTAATTTCTATGGTAATCTGAAGCCGGCGGAGCGTGGCCGCGTTGTGGGTGACGTAAATTTGCAGACACCCTGGAAAAAACTAGGCATTGATTCTGTGCATCTGCACTCCGATGTGGGTGTGCGTGACGACGGTGGTCAGATCATAGGTGAATACAAGATTGGCGAGCACATAGGACGTGGAAGTTGTTTATGGTCTTGGGTAATACTGGAGAACGTGCAGCTTATACTCGAGAGCTACATGGAACGACCCAATGCGCAGCCGAGAATAGTGCATGCCAGTGCCAAGTACTTGAATCCAAATAAGAATTATCAGCAAGTAAGGACGGGCGGTCGCTTAAGTGTTGACTCTAAATGGAACCTAGAAGTGAATGGAACTTTGCAGTTTAAATCTGTGGATGACTTTGAATTTGACGTGATTTCACAGTTACCCCAACCATTGGGCGATCGTCATCACCTTAAAGCGCGTTATCTTGGCAATGTCATAAGTAAACAATTCGTTGAGCCCAATTTATATATCGAGGGCAGCTACGAAGCAGTTGAGGCACAGCGAAAACTACTGACTCGTCTATCCTATCGCAATGTATCCGATGACTTGCATGGTCTGGCTCGTGTGGAATGGGGTGTTGCCCAGAATATCTCTGTGGTCGAGGGAGATATTGAAATGCTGCGCAAACAAGCCGTTCGCAGAGAGTTTATAGCAAAGATCACGACGCCCAAGTTTAAAAATGAGCACACATTATCTCTAAGCGGGAACTACGATATGACCGATAAGGATTATCATAATGTGCTGTGCACACTGGACTATCCAGCGAGTAATCGCATTGCCGATTTGGATGTCTCTTTCAGCTCGCTAACGAACATGCATGGCGCTGTCAATTGTAGCACTCCTTTCCTGAATGTCAGCTGGTTTAAGACCGACTTTGAGTTTACCACTAAGAGGTGCGTTTTTCTCGATAACAAATATATTTCGAAACATAATCTAAATTTTTCTACAATTTGCAGCGGTCGCAGCTATCGTTATTGCCGCTGCAGCTGGCCCCAGGATAGCGCCTTCTTTAAGCTCAGAAGCACCTATGACAGCACGGAAGCGAACCATAATCTAAATGGCAACATTGAAGTTGAGGTGCCGCTAACCACACGCCATCGAGCGGACATAGCCTACGGCCTGCAGGAGCGCCCCAACCAGGACTCTGGCAATGTGAAGGTGCTGTACAACGAACAACAAATTCTGGATGGTAAATACAAACGCGTCGAGCAACATAAAGCCCCCTTGTATAAGGATACCACCGACATTACACTGGAGAATGACATGAAACCCTTGGGCATACATTTTGTTAGCACTCGCGATCTGCGCGATCCAAAGGGTTCACGTGACATCAAACACGTCGAGATTTATGAGCTGCGCAACACAGCAAATTTCAATCTTACGGGAGAACTACACAGCCGTATTACCCTTAATGCACAAGAGTTTAAAGTGGTGGCCATACACCCGAATCGGGCGGTAGTACTGACAACCAAATTTGAAGATGTCAGTAAGGAAGTGTTTAGGCAACATACAAAGCTGGAGCTTTCGCAAACGGCTTGGATTGGTTATAATCTGGAAATGGGGAACTTTACCAAGGTAAATGGGTAGATTGTGCAACTCATATCATCATAAGTCTAATCAAATATAAATTATTTGTATTTCTTAGCCCGGAAATGATTCTATGCGCTTTACTCTAGATCTGTTTTATCCGAAACGCAATCTGTCCACCACAGGTTGGTATTATAACACCGACAAGCGCTTCAATTCGGATCTGGCTTTCAAATGGACCGGCTCGACTGAGAATGAGAATCAAAAGTCCATACGTACAAGTTTATTGTGGCAGGCTGAGCCTTTGCATAAGGCGGATCGTGATCATCAGACATTTGTGTTGACTGTGGGTCATCCCTATTTGGAAAAGGATATCAAATGTCGTGCCTCTTACTATCGGGGTTTGGTGGACTTGCTGAAGACTCAATTAACTATAGACTACTCGGATAATCCGGAACAGCTCGTTGTGCTTGGAGTTCACCTCAAGGACTTGTATCAGCAACTCGGCCACACAAACTACACCTTCCAGTTCTATGCCCATCATCAGGCATCAGAGTTGGATGCGCAGCTAAATGGTACCTTGGCTGCACGTTCCTCGTATTACAAGACTGAGTCGACGGCCCATTATAAGCGCGATTACTACCCCACCAAATATGGAAAATTCTTGGCTTTGTTGGACCTAAACAAGCGAGAGCTTGAGTATGAGCGACAGTCGCCTTATCATTCAGTGAGACTCTGGATGCTTCCAACTGTACGATATCCAGTCTATGGTTTGAATGCCACTGTCTGGGACACACCCGATACGAATCACACCGGCTATATATATGTGGATGTGGCAGAACGTTATACTCGCATGGAGTTCAATTTGACTGAGGATGCTAGTCAGAATTTGCAAATGGTCGGCTATATACCTGATAGTCGTAGCGGCTATTTGGACATATGGCGTAATTATGAAGAAATACGCATCATAGATGTTACTTCCTATCTGAAGATGAACCACTCACGTCTAATAACTGGTCGTTTCCACTGGCGTCCCAAGATCAGGGATGAGCTGCAACAAAAGATCAATGCTGTGGGAAATTCCATCTATAGCTCCTTCTCGGAAGGAATTGATTTCTGGATAAAGTCACTTTACACCGAGTCTTTGGAAGCAGTGGGCGTGGTCTGGGAAACCGCTAAAGCCTATAACAAGGAGTTCATTGATGATGTGGGGGAACTAAGCGTTCTGGAGGAGGATTTAAAGGACTTGCGCTTGTTCGTCAATCAATCGTATGAGGCCAACGATTTCTACATTAAAAACGTGGTCAACTTTACGCTGACCATACTCGATGAGCTGGCCATAAGGGATCATATTGAATCTTTGCCGAAAATTTTCACCGAACTGTGGCAAGCCATGGGGGATTCTGGTAAAGCATTGCGCAACAGCATTGTTTGGTTGATTGAGACCATAAAGTCCACATATAACAATCTTTTGGATGCTGTCGGCCGCTTCTTCCATGGCGAGAGCTTGCACTACGTCTCTACGTTGATGACCAAGGGCATTGAGAAGTATGATAAGTTTGTCAAGGATTTGCACATTTCGTTCATCAAACACATTGAGAATTTGTGGCATAAATTCGAGGATCTGGCTACGAACTACTGGAAGGGTGTATTGAAACGAATTGAACCGCATATGTTTAAATTTATTAGCTACATCGAAACAAAAGCTTGGGACTTAAGCAAAGAGGTCTTCGACTTCATATACAAACGCACAAATGAGTTGGCCGAATCGCCCTATTTCAACAAAGTTTCCAGTTTCACGCAGGATGTGGATCGCTTGTACAAGGACATCAATTCGCACGATGCCATTACCAACATCAAAAAGTACGGCACTCTGGCATGGAACTTCATTAAAGAGAAATACTTCAAACTAGTGCCTTTTGGCGCTGAACTGCATGAGGTGTTTACCGAAATATGGCAAGAGATAAATATTGAACCAGTGCAGGTGATATTGCAGAAATATCACGAGTTAATTGCCAAACTAGAATGGGTTGCCGCAGAGTTGCAGTTCGAACAGCGACTGCATCAGCTCTACGCCCTGATTCGCAATAAGTTCAGGAACTATGCGATGAATGCGCTCGAGACGGCTGACATGTATAGGGAGGCGAAGACGAAGTTCATTTTTGATCCCGAGGTGGGCATAATAGATTTGGAACAAAAGCTGCCCATGTCCTGGCACGCCTTCAACGAGACACCGAAATTTGAGGAGATACCCGAATACAAAATACTGGCAAAGGTGCAGAGCTTGTTTAGTGAAACCAATTCATCCATTATCATGAAGCTGTACAATATGCGTGCACATTTGGATCCAAAGACCTGGTTGCCACCATATTACTGTAAGTATTACCGATAGGTACTTCAAAACGTCATTGAAATATTTTCACAAAAGGTGGTCCAACACCATGTCAGATCATAAATTTATTTAACTATCAAGTTCAAGTTAAATAGCTAGAATAGTCTTTGAGTTCAATGCTTGCTTTAATAGTTTTAAAAATTATAGTTAATTGTTTTTGATCCGTTTAAAAAGTTGACTAATACTTTCCTGCATCTTAGTTAATTGCATGCTCATTTATAGATTGATGTTTTCGATCTAAAGAAGTTACTTTAATTGCAGCTCGCGCCTTGCTTATTGACTCGCGACACTACATGACGTTTGATAAGCGTTTTGTTGGCCTCAATCTCAACTTTGAAGAACTGACTAATGGACGTCGTAATGCCCAGTGTAGTTACCTCTTGGCTCATGACTTCTTCCAAAATAACTTTACGCTCTTGTTGGAGCCTGCGGTAAGACTGCATTTCAATGTTTCCCACACAATCTAAATCTGTTTTTTTTTTTTTATTTCAGGCTCAGACACGTGTTGGCAACGGTGCGGATGACATTTCCACGCGTAAGCTGAGCTTCATTGCCTATGGACAGCTCGTCGAAATTGATTTGGGCACAGATGTAAGTTGTAGGATTAAATATGGATGAAGAATGTTTTTTAAATCTCCAAAATATGCAGCACATCAGCATTAACGGCAATGCTCAGCCTATATTGCCTCTCCGTTTGGGACCTGTTACTATCTCCCGCGAGCTCGACATACTCTCCATAAGTTCAGAAACAGAGTTCAGCTTGCACTGCAATGTGCAGTTCGATCTGTGCTGGTTTGAGCTGAGCGGTTGGTACTTCGGCCATACAGCTGGTCTGCTGGGTACACTAAACAATGAGCCCTATGACGAGTACATGACTTCCGGCAATTTCATTACAAACTCCACTCAAGAGTTTACGGACTCGTGGAGTCTTCAGCAGTGCAAGCAAGAGCAGACAAACAAACAGTCTGTCGTAAGCACGGAAGTGAGCGATGTATGCACGAGCTTCTTCCGCGCGGGCATTTTGTCCGCCTGTAGTGCTGTGATTGATCCCACACCCTTCTACGAAATGTGCTTGGATCTGGGCGTGAAATCAGAGCCCATACGTCAAGGACATCCAGCTGTAAAGGGCGCTTGCGCCGCTGCTCTGGCCTACATTGAAACCTGCACGGCTATGAAAGTACCCATGCGTGTGCCCTCGCAGTGTGTGTTGTAAGTAAAAATTAACTCTTAATATAAAGCGAAATTAAATGTTATTTTTCGTATATATTCGTACTAGCTGCCAGCTATCAAATGGCTCGTATGTGCCAGAAGGCACATTTATTGAGCTTTCGGATGCAGATACGCCGCGCAGCAGCGATGTTGTCTTCATTGTGGAGGCCAAGCCCTGCAATGAAAACCTAACCGACACTAAGAACATTCTGGGTGTGGTGTCCAGCATTGAGGAACAACTACAGGCGGCTCAGATCAAAAACAATCGGTAAGTTAATTTATAAATTATAATAATATCGTTTCCTATTGCTTCTATCTCATGACTTTCTCAATTCCAGCTACGCCGTTATAGCGTTTGGAGGCATCGTACCTTATGACAAGCCCCGCAGCATCATCTACGAGCGGAACGAGTTCACCTACAAGCCGTCCGAGCTGGCCACCTACTTTAGTCACATCGCTGCTGGAAATGGTAGCAGTAGCGACATATTGCAGGCCATATCCACTGCCTCTAAGCTTAACTTCCGACCAGGCGTCTCGAAAACCTTTATACTAATCCCCTGCAGCAATTGTGCGGCTAGGGACATGCGCTTCGATTACACTTCCATACTGCAGTTTATGCTGGAGGAGGGCGTCAATTTGCATATACTGGCCGATAAAGAATTTGACTTTGAACGTTCCCGGAAATTGCGCAACTTCTTTGGCTTGGATCGTGAATTGGTCTACTCGAAACGTTTTCCCGAGGGAGATGCCGATGCTCACAAGCAAGTCCATATACCCAAAAGCAATTTGGGAATATGTACGCCACTGGCTCTGGAAACGAATGGTTCGGTGTTTAATGCACGGAAATTGGCGGAGCGTAGATATCCCATCAAGCGTGTGGCCACAATATTTGCCAAACGTGTGGCCCAAAGCGCCGTGCCGAAGGGCTCACAAACATGCGAGTGTTCTGGACATAACACGGGTGTGGCATATTTATCGTGCTCGCCTAGCGTGTATCCAGAGGAGAAGGCCACTCTGGATGATTATGTAAGTACTTCATCCATTGATAAATAAAAGGTTTCGATAAATTGCCTTTTTTTTTCTTGCAGGATGACTTCAGCAATTGGGATTGGGAGGACGATTTGGACGAATAAGTTTCAAAGACCGCATTTCAATAGATTATATATAACTAATTATTTAGCTAGTATTTAGTTTTCTTTGTGCGGTATGTAAAGTTTGTAAAGCTTTTTTAATGAAATAAACTATTTTGTAAAAATAAATAAATTATTATAATGCGATAACATCTTCGAGCTTTTACAACTGTATGACATACAAGTAGTGTGGAAGTTAATTCATAATTCCAAGTTACTCAATACTTGCAATAAACGATGGACACACTTGACCAGTTTTGGGTTCCTGCGCCCATTACCAATACCCGGCCCCGCCCAATAATTCATTGTTTGTGCAAATCTCAGTTGAGCCATTTAAAGTGGTCTGACAACCCGGCGGCTAAGCTTGACTATCACTTTTCACGTGCGACTACGGCTGACGGAAGCAATTGCAAGTGCAACTGCAACAGCATTTGTGGCAGCAACACCAACCTTAACCCCAAAGCAGTGCCGCTGCCACTGCCACTGCCTTTGCCGTTGCCGTTGCTTCGCCGGCAGGCCATTCACTTTGCATCACAGCGGCCAGCAATCAGCGGACAGGTAGTCACTTGATACCAGCACTTGAACCCAATTTGTTGATATAACATTTCCTTGGAAAAGAGCACAATGAAAATTATGCGAGCCCAATGGTAATGGTAATGCAATACTTTCTATTTCAATGTTATGGTTACATCAACCATCCAAATGGCAAATGAATCTTTCACTTTTGCCACAGGCTTTCGGCCAGTTGGTATAAAAAGCGACTTGCCAAGAGTAAATGGTCGCATTGGTTAACTGAATTTTGCTGCGGCAGCCAAGTCCGAGAAAACTCAAAACATAAAATGTGGAAATTCGTAAGTTCAGTTAACAAATAAACAAAGGCAAAGAAAGGAGGAAGCAATACTTTTAACAAAGTTCTATACAGTCTATAGAAATGTTTGAAGTTGCTTATCCGAACTCTTAGTTATAAAATAGAATCAAGAATTTGCTTATCTATCAAAACAACTGCTTACAGCTGCTTTTGGACTATCTGCTCTTTTGCACCCTAACCCAAATAATTTTTGCTTCGGAACACTCTGGTGCCGGCGATGGCCACCATGAAAGCCAATATCATCATCAACAGCATTACGATACACCCACAACATATTCGGAAATCTCTAAACATGTGCCTGTACAGGTCATCGAGAAAGTACCGCTGCCCATACCGCATCCCGTGGCTGTGCAAGTGCCAAATGTTATACGGATACAAATCCCTGAACCTTATGCTGTCCATGTGCCCATACAGCAGGAGATTAAAGTACCGGTGTACCGGATTGTGCCCGAGATTACAGAACGCAAAATTCCCTATACGGTTGAGAAACCCTATCCAGTTGAAGTGGAAAAGCCATATCCCGTTGAAGTGATTAAACAGATAAAGATACCTGTGCCGAAACCCTACCCAGTGCCAATTACCATATACAAGCATGTCCTGCAGAAGGATCATGGCTGGTAAATGGTTTAAAGATGTATGGAAAGTGCATTTAAAATGGTGTGACAATAAAATGTTGTTAAAATTGGAACTTAAATGTGTTTGCTTTTGGAAATTAACAGAAATCAGTTTGCAAAGAAACCCTCTTTACATTACTATTTCTTTATCGTCTAAAATCTACGCTCCGAGAAGGCTTACCATATTCAAAAGTTATATAAATAATTCAATTATACTACATATTAAGGGAAAAGGAAAGCTATAGATTTGTGTGTGGATTCATCTCGTAACGTATAAAGTGTCGTCAGAGTTTGAATTAAGCTGTTCTAAGCCAGAAAATGCCAACCCATATTATCATCAAGTAAAGAAATTTTAGGAATCGAACAGCATAGCTTAAATTAAATGGATCAGATATTAAAACCGACAAAAATCATCTGTGGGTTGAAATTTCATCAATATTTGGTAAATTTCTTAGTCCCATTTTTATTCATTTTTCTATATAGACGATAAGCTTCTAGATGTTATCCTATAATTAACTTTCTGCTCGTGGTTATTAAGCGGTTAACCTAATTTCTCCTACTATCGTTTATGGACTACAACATTTAATTACTACAATCTAAATGTAAAATCTATCCATTTTAAATATTATTTTTATGTGCTGAAAAACGAAAAAATCGAAGCTTATAATTTACTTTAAATATTCTGAAATCTTTTTTCTAAATATAAACACGTGTATATGGAAAAAGCTTCAAACTTCCTTTGAATTGATCCTCAAAGATGTAAATAATTTTGGATATAGCAATCGATTTCCAAAGATGTCAATTTGAATTAACAAAAAAATATGCATTTTATAGTCAAAATTTTTACGAATATATTAAGCATATTTTTATAAAACCAATTATTTCAATTAAAACCAAAACCGAAATATCCAATTTTTTTTTACATAAAACCAGATTAAAATAATAATAAAGACTTGCTTTTAAAATATTTAGCCGAATAGGACCATACCGCAACTGATGATTAATTCATAGTGAAAATAATTCTTAAATATTCAAGCATCATTAAAATTTTGAATATAGTGTTAATAGTTAGTAGTAACGCTAAGTTATTGAGGAAAATGTGTACTCTATTGGCTGGTTTATATTTAAATGAACTGTCTAAAGACAGATTTCAAAAAATGATTTTCGACTGATGTCATTAGTGTTGTCCGGGGGATGCGAAGAGTATTCCAGATTATGGGGAATTAGAGAACTATTTAATGTGCACAATTCTTCAAATTTCCAAATGTATTTAAATTTAAGGATAATTAAATTTTTCTGATAAACACACATTCGTTATCCATTATCCCTTTGCTTATCGAAAACACAAACCAGAAATGAATTCTCGACAAAAGTTTCAAACTGGCAAGCTTTTTGTAAGCTTGGGAGAGTGAAAAAGTTGAAAGCTTGCGGCTGAGAGACTTATTTACTCACGCAAGTACACACACACACACACACATACACACTCTCTAACACTCATAACTATACATTACTGTATTATTGTAGTTGCTAGCATGTAATGGCGGCAGAGTGCGTACACGAGGGTGTGTGTGTGTGTGAGTGTGAATGTATATGTGTGAGGTTGGTTCGCAGGTTCGTTAAACTTTAGCGAATAGATTGAGGCTGCCTGACGGCCGGCCAGTCGGTCGTCCTATCGTGCTGCCTGCCTGCCAGTTGTTGTTGTGTGTGTGTGGCTTGCTATGTTTTCCTTTAACCGATGACGTGCTTGAAATGTGCGCACACTCAACCGCACCTCCCGCGCACACCTTGACATGTGCTATGTTTAATATCCTTTATGTCCTTGATGCAGGAAATCGGTCGCAGGCAGGCAGCGGAATGTCGTCGTCTTCTAAAATTGCGCCAAGTTTTCCATGCCCCAGCTGGCAAATGAAAACCACAAGCGAAGACTGTTGCCTGGCGTTTCCGTTTTTTCTTCTCCTTCTTCTTCGGCAGGCAAGCAGGCTGGCAGGCAGCCATTGATTTTCGTGTGTAGCATACTTTGTGGCGTATTGATTATGAGGCGACACGCACTTTACCCCATTTTGTACCCTTTTAGCACTTCCTCTATTTCTGCCTCTTCATCTAATCAATGTAGTCACCCGTCTGACAGTCAGTCAATCAGTCAGTGAGTCAATCAGTCAATCAGTCAGTTACTCGTGCATGCATTTAGTTTGTCAGGCAAAAGTCAATCAGCCGCAGCTGCTGCAAAATAATTTATGCGCAACTGTAGTTACACATATAGTGCACAAAATGTATCTGAAGGATACGTGCCTTGTTTGCGTGAACGTACGTGTTGCAGACTTTCATTTAATTTTGTTGATTTCAATGTGCCACAATTTATTCAACTATCAAATGTAATTCAGAGTCTATGCTTTCCTTTATTAAAAATAATCGCAAAACCACATCAATTCCACAAATATTCTGCAATCAAAGTAAATAGTATAAAGTGGAATATATAATATACCTGTATGTATATAGAGTGTATATGAAAACATGTTGAGCTGAAATATGCGAATATACTATGTATAATATAAATTTCCAAGTATTTCATATAATTGTCAACAATTTTGAATGTCATTTATTTACGTTTGGTTTCTTGGAAATTCATAGGAAATTCGCAGAAAAGTTTCAGGTACACACACATACTCTATTATTCTAAGAAGGATTTTAATTAAATGTACAATATGTGAATGTTTGAAAAAGATTGCATATTAAAGTGGAATCAATTAGTTAAACATTTTATTTAATTTCAATGCTGACTATAAGCTCCCTGATTCTATTGCGGCATACTAAACGGATTTGTGAAAGTAATCAGAACAGATTTTAAAGATGACGCCTTTTTCAATTTTAATTCAAACTATTAACTATCTACTGAAAGCGATAAAAACCATTCAAGAGGCTTATACCATCACATTAGTCTAAAAGGCTTTTTGATCGTTGTTTCAAGTCAAAATTCGATTAATTTGAATAAAATAAACTCATTTTGCTAAAATATTAATTCTGTGTCCTTATTCTTAGCAACCTTTTTCCTATTTGTTATTTTCTAATATTTTGTGTGCTTCCCACAGTATGTAGCCTGCCATTGTTACTCACATAAATGTTAGTTAAAACGCCTTCAGGGATTATTTTTGTTGCTACACTCACTATACATATTATGCATTTATGAGTACGTATGTTCATGAATATGCATTTATGTCTAAATGTAATGTGCGCACAATAATATTTTGCATGGCATGTTGATTTTAATTTTCGGTTTCTGTGAATTCATTTCGTTCACGTACAAGTATTGTTTGTTTGTATTTGCCCCGAGGTGGCTCTGCAATTGTTATCCCAAAATATGACGATATACACATACATACGTACATATCGCAGTTATATGGGAGTATGTCAAGTGAATGTCTGCATTTATATTTGAGTGGCGTGCTCTGTGAAATAATTTCAATATTTAATACAATTGCCTGTCAGTTGAAATTGGCTAATCATCTGGAAAACGTATAATTGCACATTTGTATGATGCGAAATGGCATAACAATTGTGTGTGTGTGCGTGTGTTTAATTATTTGTAATTAAGCCATTGACCTGGTTCTGTTGTTCACAAATTAGATGCAATTGACCAGTATAATGAGTTCGATAAATGTGGATGCGCTCAGTTTGGTAATTTAGAAAAGGATGGCCTTACACATGACAAGTATTAATTGATGAATCGTTCAAAATATACGGCAAATATGATTTATTAACGAGGAAAGAGGCAATAATTTAATCTTAAAACATTAAATACAAAAACAAAATTTTTGAAAAATGACAAGTTGAACTTTAATGATACACAATCCAAACAAATAGATGAAATTAGTAAGAAATTTTCAAAAACAAAGAAAATGTACTAAAGTTTTGAAGAAACGGTCTTTCCTTCAATAAATCTTTTTATTGCTGAACAATTTCAACTACTTTCTCATTTATTTTCAAAACACTTCATTTCTTCAGTACACAATTAATTTGTATAAATCAGTTTAAAAGTAGTTCAGAGCTATGAAAATTAAGATTAGAAGTTTAACGTTGTTGTGTTTTCAAGTTAATAACCGGTTGGAATATCTGTTTAAAAGTAGTTCAAGGCTATATAAATTATTCGAACAACGAAGATTATATTTTAAAGTATTTTCCGTTCAAATTGTTTTTTAGAATTATATTATAATCTGAATAATTTGGATATTTTTAAAACACGTCTTAAAATTATTTTTAGCCGATTCAAAAGTGATTTAAAAGTGATTCAAAGACGTATCTTCTAAAATAGTAAGCCTAGCCTGTTAAAATAAAATTCTTATGCCCACTGGATTAAGTTCAAAAATATTTCGGTTAAAATATGGCTAAAACTTGCTACCAAACTACTAACAGGAACAATTTAATTTTGCAAAATTAATAAATAAATTAAACATAAGAAATATTTGAGGGTAAAAAAACCGAGAAAATAAGTGCCAAAAAGTTTAATAGCTGGAAAGAATATTTATTTGAATATACACTTTATTTTGTAGTAGATTTAATATTTGTTTTAATATATGATGGTCATTTTACACAAGTACTAAGATATTAGGGCCACAATATCACAACTAGCAATTATAATTCAATTATCACGGTCAGCTCCGCACTATCTGCTTAGAATAAAACTTATTAGTTGTTGTATACAAGGAAAGTGTTGTGTGTCCAAGGAAACATGTCAACTAATTATAAAGCATTAGCTCTTTAGATGGAAAATTAGCGCAGTATTCATACCGTAGGTGTGTAAACCAATCGATATTTTGGCCATCATACAATTTCCCACATTTTCTCAATTAAAACGTGTTCGATGGAGAGCGAGGGCTGCCATGGAAGCAACAATGGTGAAGTGACACCATTGTCCATGGGTCGCATCAAAGGACTCTTTTCATTCACACCACTTTACACTTCATTAGACAACAGAGCAGCGAAACGAACGACACATACGAGCTATACATGCCT